ATATATATATATATATAAATTCTACAGAGATTTGAAATTGTTTTATAGATATATTTATATGGCCGAAGGTGTTTCTAAAAATATAACTCGATTTACAAATTGACAGTAGAAGTGACAAATGTAATTATTTTTTTTAAAAAAAAAGAATGAGTTAACCTAATACAATTTAATGTATCTTGGTTGGGATTTTTCTATTTTTTTTTTTTAATTTCTTTTTTTTCTCTCTTTCTCTTAAGTTTTCTTGCAATTTGATAAATTTTCTTATCTAAAAAATCATAAAATTGTATAGTAAAAGTTGTTATTATTTCTGATTATTCTTTTATCTTGAACAAAGTTTAATTTTCGAAAACAGAAAAAAAAATTAAAATTTATAAAATTTAATTTCTTGAATGTCTTTTTGTTAAAATTTCCAAGTTTTGTTGCTATTCCTTTCATCTAAAAGTGGCTTTTCTTTTTCAAAATAAATGTTTTGTTTGTCACTTTTTTTCATATAGAAATGGCAAGTTAGATTTTTAGAAATGAAATTTTTTTTACAATTTATATTTTTTCTATTTTCTTTTAGTTGTTTTCATTCGAAGTGACGAGCAAGAGTATCGTTTGACTCGTTACTTAATGTCAAATTACGATCCGGCCGTCCGACCCTCTCAAAATTCTTCGCAGGCTCTTCGTGTGACCTTTGAACTTGCCCTCCACCAAATCATCGACGTGGTAAGCTGTGAAGATATTTTATTCCTTGTTTTCTTACATAAAAAAAAGCCATAATCCGACATAAACATTTTTATTTTCTACAATAATGTAGGACGAAAGAAACCAGATTTTGACAACAAACTGTTGGCTTACACAAGTGAGTAATAATTAATATAAGATTTTATAATTAATATCTATTCATATTTTAATTTTTTCTGAAAATAATTTATAAATTTTTATCCGTGAATAATAACTAAGTAAAATGACTCAGTTATTGAGGTTTAAAATGGTGTTATTTTCAGGTTCGGATGACATTAAAGTACCGCAAATAATTAATTTATGTATTTTTAAGTATTAAAATAATAGCATACTTCATTTAAAAGGCGTATCTTTAGTTATTTCTGAGTGAAACTACCTGGTTATGGGCGTTCTAAAGTTTAATGATTGCATTATACATTGAAAGTATGTTAACCTATACATTTCAGAAATGGAACGATGTCCATCTTAGGTGGAACACTTCAGACTTTGGAGGTATTAACGTTATTCGCATACCAGTTAATCAAGTTTGGAAACCCGATATTATATTATATAACAAGTAAGTATATATATATATAATAAGTAATATGCTTAATCCAATATAATAACTTTGATAGAACTTAATGAAAAAACTTAAGCAAACAAATTCTTAGGTCTATTAATAAAGATAATCTGTTAAATTAAAAATAAGGAACATTTTAAAATTATTGGTTGGATTTATGGACAACTTAACGCCGATTGGTTAGAAAATTCAAACTAGCTCCTCCTCCTATAATTTCAACAAACCGTCTTTCAGATCGCATAAAATTTTTATAAAGTATTTTCTTACATATTTAACAATAGACCGCTTAAATTTATAATTTCTTAAGTAAAATTTTATCTCTATTATATGCTAAAATTATCATATTTAATAACAGTTTATTGTTTACATTTTATATAAATGGATTTAATTTCCTTAATTTACAGTGCAGATTCGCAGTACAAAACAGCTGTTATTAATACTAATGTGATGATACGTTCCAGTGGAGATGTTATATGGTTATCTCATGGAATTTTTAAAAGTTCTTGCGAAATCGATGTTGAATATTTTCCGTTCGACGTGCAAACGTGCGCCATGAAATTTGCATCTTGGACGTACGATGGTTTTCAGGTGAGTTGATAAAGTACAAAATAAAGATTTTACAAACGAAGAACATCACTTCTGTTATTGATTAACAATAAACAAATTCGGCTTGCTTATCACTAGCATTTATAACTAAACATGCACTTGTTACACGAAATATCCACTCGTACTAAGAGTGCTAATTATCTAAAATGTTCCGATGTTGTTGACAATTTTAATGGATAGCATAATATCACTACTCGCCTTTCGAAACTAATTATTGGTGTCATAGACCTTACAGATACATTGTACCTATTGCGGTGTAATTAAACATCATACAAAATTGACAGCAAAGCACTATTGTAGGATGCATATTATCTTACATTGCTTAACTTCTGAGTAGTTTAAAGTTAATCTAACACTGCTTCTCGTTTTGCAGGTGGAGTTAAATAAGGAAGGTGGGCTAGGTGATCTATCTAGTTACCAAAAAAATGGAGAATTCGAACTGGACGAGTTCACCTACTCGGTTCATCTTCAGAAGTATTCTTGTTGCGAAGAATCTTATCCGGATATAACTTATACTCTAGTATTGCGTAGAAGGCCCATGTTCTACGTCTTTAACTTGATACTACCATGTCTACTCATCAATATCATATCGTTGTTGGCATTCTATATTCCTTCTGAATCGGGTGAGAAGATTACTTTGGGTATCAGTACCTTGCTATCCATTACTGTTTATCTGATGGTAGTCAGAGAAAGCTTACCTCCCACTCAAAAAACACCACTTATAAGTAAGTCAAAAATTTTTATTACTGTTTTACGAGTTTATTTTCATTTTAATGTTTGCGCTAGTATCATAATACTCCGAGTCAATGATAGAGATTATAAGTTTAATTTAAAATATATACCGTATATTATAGAAATTAAAGCAATCAAATTAGTAATTTTATAATTGTATTTTATAGATATATTTATATGGCCGAAGGTGTTTCTAAAAATATAACTCGATTTACAAATTGACAGTAGAAGTGACAAATGTAATTATTTTTTTTTAAAAAAAAGAATGAGTTAACCTAATACAATTTAATGTATCTTGGTTGGGATTTTTCTATTNAAAAAAGAAACTTAAAAATAATTTATAAAAATTAATTGTAAGATAACTCATTTCTTCAGAAATTTATCCGTATTTTTAGAAACGAAGAAGTTTCAACTTTATTTGACCTGTTTTAGATAAAGTAAAACGCCAAGTTATCGAAATTTTTATTAACTTATTTTATTTTTACCCATTCAAGAAACTCGTATCTCTTTTCTAAAAATATTGAATGGAAATTTAAATTTTACTAAACGTACTTTTGATAAATATCTGTCGTAAAATTAAATTTATCAATCCTTAATTTACATTCTTGATATGAAAATTCTAAAACTATTCTGGCAAAATATTCGTGTATTGTTTCTTTATTCACGTCCAATTTATGCAAAGTTATTACAATCTGCCTCTAAGCACAAGTCAAGAAACAATAATGCCTTCATCAATCAAGTTTCTTTAGCTTGCTTCTACTCTTTTTTTTTATTTTTTAAGGTGATGTCACCATTTTCCTCCCCCTACTTTTCTTTTATTATAAAAATAAGCAAATGTAATTATTTTTTTTAAAAAAAAAGAATGAGTTAACCTAATACAATTTAATGTATCTTGGTTGGGATTTTTCTATTTTTTTTTTTTAATTTCTTTTTTTTCTCTCTTTCTCTTAAGTTTTCTTGCAATTTGATAAATTTTCTTATCTAAAAAATCATAAAATTGTATAGTAAAAGTTGTTATTATTTCTGATTATTCTTTTATCTTGAACAAAGTTTAATTTTCGAAAACAGGAAAAAAAATTAAAATTTATAAAATTTAATTTCTTGAATGTCTTTTTGTTAAAATTTCCAAGTTTTGTTGCTATTCCTTTCATCTAAAAGTGGCTTTTCTTTTTCAAAATAAATGTTTTGTTTGTCACTTTTTTTCATATAGAAATGGCAAGTTAGANCTCTTTTTTTTTTATTTTTTAAGGTGATGTCACCATTTTCCTCCCCCTACTTTTCTTTTATTATAAAAATAAGCTGTTTCATCTTAACAATCCTCAGGGAGTTGAAGAACTTAAAAAAAAGAAAAGAAAAATTATTCTATACTAAACGGCAAATAAATATCTGTAAAAATGTTTATCGTGAGAATAAACGTTTTATCTATCCATCTTTCATCATAATATTTTTTTCTTTTTAATATATTTTTTAATTTTCTTCTTAGTAATTTTCTTTAAAGCCTCAAATTTTCGTAAAATGGATCATCATTCATCCATCTTTTAGTCGGGGTTGACAAACGTTAGATTGATATTTCAATTTAAAATCTAAAATCATCGTAACAAAGTATGGAAAATTTATTGATGGTTCTTTAATGTTCATCCAAACACACAAAAAAATGTATCTATACAATATTTAAATGAAGAAAAGATCTTTATATGATGGTATTCCCAGTTACTCATGAAGTACTAGGTTGAAAATAAATTGTCGTTAACCGCTAGTAGCGCTATTACATAAGAACTGGCAACACTTTTTCATATAATTCGAATTCCTTAAAGATCTTAACTAATAGAGTGGACAATCCGTCAATAATTGAGGACAATACAGACGCCATCTTTGTGGGAGTCAGATTACTTAAAGACGTTACTAAAATGTTTAGAAAGTTGTTTCGGAAGAAAATAATAACTCATATATTCATTTTTCCATAGTAAAAAGATATATTGTAATTATTATTATTTTCTTTTATCACAGAAATGGCGATTTCTTCTCAATTTCTTTTATGAGTGAATTAAAATGCTGGAAACAGTTTATTAGTATGAGTTCTTGGACGTGGTTTTTGATAGAAATTCAGAAATTTTAAATAATTTTCTTGATTTTAACCGGTGAATAAGTTATTCTAGATTTGTATTATAAATAACAAGAGGATATTCATTTAATTCGCTTATAAAATTCTCGTATCTATCGGTAATTTTGAAAATGTTAAAAATGTAATGTAAGTGAATACTTTTCTATTATATTGAATACTTCAGAAATGTCTTTTTCTAAGATTTTTATTTCAGATATGTGTAGATAACTCTAGAGAATTCATCTAGCAGAACCTTTCCATTTAGCAGGGTAATCCGAAGATGTTTTATTGTCTTAGACTAGGTTTTATGTAAAAATACATATTTTGAATGTCTACAAAAATAAAAAAGAAACTTAAAAATAATTTATAAAAATTATTCAAAATTATTTTACAAAAATATTATCTGAAAACTCTAATTTCATTTTACTGTTAATAATGGACAGATTTAGGGGGTGTGTAGGCGTATTGCACCTCCTCTCTCAGGGTTTTACCTGAATGTAGCTCAGGTAACAAAAAATTTTGTAATGCGTATTATTTCCTTTTTGCATCCCCTCTAAATACAAAGTATATCTGGATTCTCTATTCATTAATAATAATCTACCTTTTCTCATTTTTCAAAACTTCTCCTTTTGGCATTAAGAAGGCCTTTTTTAATCATATCCATTACTAGTACAGCAGAGTACAGCAATGCAGGAGGCCAGGTGATGGGAGCAGATCAGTCCTGAATATGTCGCATCGACCACCGATAAATAATTCCTGGTTGTTCGTGAGAATTTGTTCCTGGATCTCCAGAAAATAAGCACGTCCATTTTAAGTTACATTTCATTTGATACTGGCGAATAAAACTCGGGTGTACTAATGCACAATATGGTGGCATGCTAATGAGCAAAACATACGAATTGTTATTATTACTGATGATAAATCATATTTAGAAATATAGTAGAGATAAACAGTACAGATTTTTATCTCTTCCAATAAGATTTCTAGGCGGTACTATCGCCACAATAAATAATGTGAATTCGGAAATCACATGATAGCTTAAGACCTTTGTGGTTATATCTTTAAAACATTTTATATATTATAGTGTTACTAGTTCAGTATTATGTAAAAAAACTTCATACATATCGTAAATAATACGTAAAAAGTCACTTACCTGATACAGCTTAATTTAAGAGATATACAGCAGGCCTTTTAATAATGATTTCTTATGAACTCCACGAGGTCATAGAGTTTAAGAATAGTTCTAGTTATCAAAGTATTTTCAAATATATGTAATTCCTATTATTGTTATTATTAAATTTCCGTTTGTGTTTTCTCATTTTAGAACTATCGAAGCAGGTTTACACAGCTGGCAATTTGCAAGAAGCGATAAGAAACCCTGTAAAATTGGTGTTATTTTATCGCAGTCGCTATCACTCGCTTCTTGCAATTTATTGCCGTATTACTCGCTGGATATAATTATATTCACCCATCCACTCGATATAAAAAAATGTATAAAAAATAAACAGAAGACGATTCGCACATGTATGAAAATGGAGAATAAACAAAAGTAAAAATATTTTTAATTCAAATTTTTATTTAGTTAACAATGTATTGGTACGATATTTCCTTAAAATTCTAACATCACTGATGTATTTTTATTTTTGGTTCTTTCCGCCTTATGGGCCCTAAGAGGGACTTTTTCTATACCCATCGTGGGTTCGGCCAGATCCACAATGGAGGAGATCAGATAGTGAGGAACGAGGCCCGAAATATCCAGGGCATATTTAGCTTGGTTTGAAGGGTTACAGTAACGGAACCATGGGAAATCAGCAAAGGAGGATATTGCGGGAGGATTTTCTATGAGAACTAGCCCCTGTTTAGGTGTTAGACACGTGTAGAAAACACGAAAATTCTACACGGCCATCTTGTTAATCTGTTGCAAACCCATGACCAACAACCATGTTTGGTTTTATTTGTATAAGGCAACGCGATACATGGGCGATCTGCCGAGGGAAAAATGCATCCTAAGAGGTCTTTTATGGGAAGCTGGCCCTATATAGGTGTTATTAACGTGAAGAAAACCCGGAAAACTCCACGTTGGCGAGACGCGAATCCACGACCAACTATCACTATTCAGTGGTTTTATCCACTCGATTATTAATGGGCAGATCCTTCCATAAAAATTACAGATATTTTTTGCCCTCCTGGATTCGATTCCGGGTCCTCCAAAGCAGTAAGCTGACGTCCAAATCGCCTCAGCAGTGCAATCGTCTGACATTATTGAGTTACCTTCATTCACTGCAAGCAATAAATTACAAGCATCTGAACTTTTTCACGTAAAATAAAGCATCCAATTTTTATTAGGTTCAATAGTAAAACTCCTAAAATCATTAAGAGTTTATATTAAAGAAGTAATTTTGAAATTTTTCAGGCTTATATTATGCAGTTACGATGTGTTTGGTAGCATTTGCAACAATCTTCTCGGCCTTGACGCTAAATGTGCATCACAGAGGAAAGAGGGGGATCGAGGTACCAAAGTTGGTTAGAAAAATGGTCTTAGGTTGTCTTGCCCGCATGGTGTTTATTAATTGCTCTGCGAAACATCGAGACAGCAAGGTAAGACCGCGTGTTAAAATATGTATATAAATGACTTCGACAGGTTCAAAAACCTGTTGTCAATCTTTTATAAATTCAATTAAGAGCGGGCATTCACCTGAAACAATTTTAGAAGCAAAATTGATATAAGAGAAGGGGAAAATTTGCATATTGTCGCGAGACGTACCTCAGGCAAGAAGCCGTTGTTTGCAACTTACTGTAAATTAATTAAACTTTTGCTTTGTTTAAATTCTACTAAAATTCTTGGAAATATTACAATTCCGCGGCGATAATATATCCGGAAATATCAAAATTCCTGAATTCTTTATTAATGAAAATGCATGATTATTATTGCTATCGCTTAAAGGCTATTGAATTGTTGATGATTTAAGTAATGATTTTAAGCATCAAAAGGAAATTAATAAAATTAACTCGGATAAAACAGTTTGTAGTAGTATATAATGTTAAATATATTAAATTTTAGCCATAACTTAACTCATTTAATAAAGAGATAACCGTACTTTGCTTCATTTTTTAATGGCTCGTATATCATGTTCACATAAAGAAAACCGATAACGAAATTAGTTTTAATAAAGTTATTAAGAGAAAACTTTGCATTAAACGTTGACCGAAATTATATTAATTTTTTAAAATTTTATTTTACAGCACAAGGAACCGAGCAAAGGTTATCCTCAGGAACAATTAAGCAAAGATGATAAAATCGAGTTAGATCATATCGAACATTATAGTTTTTCACCAAGATTAAGACATCGTAAGGAAATGGCTGCCAGTGCAGGTGGTGACGTAATGGCCGACGAATTCGAACGACAATTCTTAAGAGTTTTGAATAAAGTGTACGAGACGATAGAGAAGAATGAAATGAGAATTGCTGAACAAGAACGTCGTGATGCTATCAAAAGCGAATGGCAACAGATTGCCTTAGTGTGCGATCGCCTACTTTTAGCTGTATTTTTATTAGCAACAGTTACATCTACATTTTTGATTCTTTTCTCTTCACCTCATGGACCATAAAACTTGTACACACCAGTTGTACGTTTGTAATATTTGTGTATCGTATCATGCACACTTGCGAACAGCACTAGATGAATTAGGATATATACCTGTGTTTGCACTACGAAGATAAATAACAAGTTGCTGATGAAGATGATGATGATGTTGTAACAATCTTTTCTACCAGCAGAAGAAGAAAAATAAGCAAAACTGCTCAAAAACAATTTTTATTTCATTTTTCTTTTTAAATATAAACTGAAGTACGACATCATCGAGAAGCGAAGTGACTGATGCACGACAGGGATTTTTCCCTAAATGGGATGTTGTTATATGTATTAAATTCAGTTTTTTAGAAAATGTTATTTTTTCTGTTTGTATCTTATACAACATCAACCATTTTGATGGGAGTTTGAATACAAAATTTGCTCTTTCGTTATAAGTTGTTTGTGTTTTATTGTACTTTTCTATCGACACTACGCTAATATCGTTAGAGTCAGAGCTAATATCTTAAATTTTAATAATTTTTAAATTAAAAAAATAATAATAATAATAAAACCTAACAGTAGTGGCTTGCGTTAAACCGATATAAAATCGATAGAAAGTGCTGGTTAATTTTCACTCGTGTTCTTTCGTGGTTTATCGATTGTCAATATTTTCATAAATTAAAATTCGAGTAATTAAGCTTAACTAATATTTAAATTTTATGGCCACACCAGTCGAAATTCATGAATATAAATGAATTAAAATGTTTAAATTATTTATAAACTCCGGTCGTGTTTTAAAGATAAAGAAATCTTTGAGAGAAAAGAAAACACACAAGAAAATAAAAAAAAAATCGGATGGTTGTTATTTGTAACAAATGTAAGATCTTACATCTAGACCAAAGTAATCGTATTGTTACGCGGAGTGGTCCATACATCAATGAACAAGTTCAACTGAAGGAAAATTAGTTTTCTGAACCGAATCGTGGAACACACAATCCAGGTGTGTGTAGTCGATAACGGTTTTCTGAGTTACCATGACAACTGACGTCATTTCCTGTACACTACTTTAAACTTCCGGTTGCTGTTGCAACCACCAAAAGCATTTTCCGATAGATCATTTTGTTGAATGTAAAATTGCATTTTTTTTTCCCTCTTCCAAATCGGGAACGTTTCCTCCGAGGACAAGAAGACAAGTGATGCTGCTGATAGGTCTTCCTTGATTTTCTGTTGATCGAAATTTATTCATATAATAAAATGATTTTTTATTTTTTTATCGTCCATTCCTATGGCATTAAATTTTTCTCGATTGAAATGATTTAATGCATCTATACTCAAAACGCTTAGAGGGAAACAATTTTGAGAAATTTCCTGGCTTACAAACTATGCTACCGATATGAAAAATAGGAGAATTTTCTTCTGAAAGTTCGCTAATGGTTAAAATTTGCATAAAAATAGTATTTTTGGTGTTTAGGGTATTTTTTTTTTAATTCAATAACTTTCGTGTTAAAAGTAAACCCCGCCTGTAAAGAACAATATTATTGTCGTGATTACGAGAAAATTGTGTTAAATTACAGATATAAAAAACAACTTTACATCGTATGTATATGATAATTTTGATAATTTATTGCAAATGCAGTATTTATGTATTTACTGTAGTGATTGCATACACTACAGTAAATACAAGAAATTCGTAAAAGCAATGCGAATATTACAAATAAATTAATAAAAGAGTTAATTACGAAGAAAATGCAACTTCTATAATGGAGTAAATTAAAGATATCATTTTCAAAATGTTACTCCATGCTAATATATCTGCAATACTGTAATTGGCATTACTGAATTCTATCAATACACTTAATTATGCTTTTAAAATTTGTTACTGAACTCTTACTGTTAACAAAATTCTTATATGAGAATGTGCATTGAGCTTTAAACAAGAGAAAACAAAACCTTGTCAATATAACCATATATTTTGAAAGTTTACATTATTCTAATGAGTTTAAAACATGAAAATTCTATTAAAAAAAAATTCAAACAAATGATCATTTTTATAATATTTTCAGTAAAATAAAACGAGTATCTAAATTTAGCTTCCGTAAAAAATAAGTAATGCATTATACAACACAAAAGATTCGTGAGGTTCTTTATTGAAGAATGTGGATTTTCTTCAACCAATTTTTCATATCTTAAGTAATTTGCATATTACTCAAGACACGAAAATGAAAGACGTATAACGTGCTACTTATCTACTCTCTTCATAAATGTAAAATATTTTATTAAATTTCACTATTCAACTTTGCTAATGGATCGTTAGGGATAATTCGTTAAAGATACGTTGGGTCTCCTTTATTTATAACATTAAATCTTTCACATCAAATTATGAATGAACCTATACTGAAAATATAATACAAATTTCTGTTACTAGATGAAGCGTGTAAAATATTTTCATAGCCAAAAATTTGCACGAAACTTAATAAATGAATATTTAAGGTTTTAATTTTAAAGATATTTTATGAAATTTTTACAAAAAATATAATTATAAGATACGATCGAGTTGAAAAGTATTGTTGATTTTATACAGGAGATTATTCAGAATGTAATTTACTTGTATTAATTGTTTGAAAAGAATTCGAGAGTTTAAAAAAAAATAGGAAAAATTTTTTTTTCTTTTTAGAAATGAAATTTTAAATATAGTTTCGATAGATCAAAGCGTTTCGAATTTAACTAGAATAAAAGAATAAAGACAAGGATTGTAAAATAAGAAAAAAGTAACGGGAGAGTAATTAAAGTCGAACATTTTCGATGATGATGTTCGTTACTACGGTAACAGCACACGATTCATCAAATATCTTTAGATTCTTTCGGGATTTCGAACGTCGTAATGAGTTTGTAATAATGTTAAGATGATATAAGATGATCTCTCTTAACCTTCTTTATATTTTCCTTATTTTAATAAAATGAATATGGTTCTAATTTAAATTTTAGGCGATTATTCTTCTTTACTATTGATCTATAAATATATTGATATGCGAAGATGCTGAGTAAATTTAGAGAACACGAAGAGAGTTAACGTCATTAAAACTCCATTAGAAAATTCCATGAATAGTAAAGTTCAAGTTAAAAGTAACATCAAATTTTGAAAATTGAGAATATAATTTTTTTTTTTTTTTAATTTTATAAATGTACTCCATTAATATTCATATTATCCTTTATACTTTAAACAGAAGCATTAGTGATAATATTACGGATGGAGTTTGTTGCATAGATTTTAGTTCGTTTCAACTTATGCATTTGTACTGTACAAGTGTTTTATATATAAGTAAAGCGACTTTGAAAATATAACAGTGATATATCTTAGGATATTTCTTTACACATGTGCGAAATAACATAAAGTTCCATTGCTTGAATACATTAACGTCTACCAATGCAAATATCCATCTCGTTATCTGATAGAAATAACACTATTTAATGCAATTTAAATTTATAAATCTGCATTAAAAACGAATAAACTTATACATTTTAAACAATTATATTAATTTTCTAAGTGCATTCACTTTGATAATCCTCGAAGTTATATGATCAGACATATGTTTGCAATTGTTATATCTGAAGAGAAGGATTTGCCATCTTCTATTCGGTGATACAACGTCTCCAGTGTGACGTATAACTCAGAGATTCTCTTTGTTCTCTATTCACAAAGTGATCAACTTGTCACTCGATAAATGAACGATTTGCTCATCCTCATAGGGTTAATACGTCAAAGCTCCTCAAGCAAAATTTATACAAAAGTAGATATAAAATTTATTAAAGCGTAACTTGATTGTTTACAACTATAAATATTTCAAGTTTTAAACATAATTAATTAATTAATTAAATTCTCTTATTTTCGAGTTGTAAAAACTAGTTAATGACCATTAAATTTAGATAGAAGCTATATTTTACATAATTAAATGTAATCTACTGTATTACTTTATCAATATTAAAGAGAAACGTATGTATATTTTCAATGTTATCGTGCAAAATTGCATATTCCATGGTACAGTCGTGGAATACAATTAAATAAAATAATATTGCAATGTTTAACGTACTAATAAAGTAACATTAGTGAGCAATATTTGCTCATAATATCGTATTATCAAACAAATCTAATGAAGTATTATTTGCAAAATATGGGTCTATATCACAAAGTTAATTAGAACAAATCACATCATGAATAATACACGATATTTAGTATTATCGCACACAATAAACAAGTTAATTTTATATATCATTCAATTGTTTCTACATTAAAACATATATCAACTAATCCAAATAACGAATAAATAATTAAAACATATAAATTAATTCAGTGTTTATAACAGAACGAATAAAAAAATAGATTCGATAGTCAATTCTTTCAAATATAATACCTTTAGAAAAAGACTTTTTTACTCGACGAAAATCTTCTATTTTTATTGAACATCATTATTTATTCGAAAGTAGAACAGCAATACTTAATAAAAAAGAATATCTCCATATTTCCATTAACTCTCTACACTATTTTCATATAGGCTATATATATATACAGGTTTTTTTAAAATATTTTTTTGCTGTAAGAACAGGTGCAAAACGGGAGACAATTAAGAGACACATATATAGGCTGGAACGACAATAAAAATTTTTTATGACACTTTCCCGAAAACATTTTCCATTCGTCATTTTTCATCCCCTTCAAATTTCATCCATTCTCCTATCCTTTTGTATCTTTTTAAAAGAGTCCAATTGTGAAGAGATACATTTTAATCTCTGAATAGAACAATTATTATTATTATTACTTTCGATATATTTTATTATTTTTTACAATTGATATTAATATTTTTTTAAATATTATATAAAAATATTTTTAAACAATTCTTTGAAAAATCTAACCTCCCCCTCCCCAAAAAAACACTAAATTATTGCATGATAAATAATAGAATAATAGAAAAAATATTATATTTTTCTTATTCTAAATCTAGAATTTTTATAGATTTAAAATTTATCTGCGTGAGATATATATTTTAGTGTTTTTATATAACATTTGGTATTTAATTTAATATTTAAATGTATTAAAAAGTATTAAAAAGTAAAAGAAAATAAAAGAAAAACTGTTTAGCCTATAATTTATCTTAAAAATTAAATTCGAATTTTTTTCTTATTAAAATTTCATAATTTTATATGTATATTAATAAAAATTTTGACATTTTCATTTAAATTTAAAATTAATTTTACTATATTTTTTTTACATATCAATTTNAAAAAAAAAAAAAAAAAAAAAAAAAAAAAAAAAAAAAAAAAAAAAAAAAAAAAAAAAAAAAAAAAAAAAAAAAAAAAAAAAAAAAAAAAAAAAAAAAAAAAAAAAAAAAAAAAAAAAAAAAAAAAAAAAAAAAAAAAAAAAAAAAAAAAAAAAAAAAAAAAAAAAAAAAAAAAAAAAAAAAAAAAAAAAAAAAAAAAAAAAAAAAAAAAAAAAAAAAAAAAAAAAAAAAAAAAAAAAAAAAAAAAAAAAAAAAAAAAAAAAAAAAAAAAAAAAAAAAAAAAAAAAAAAAAAAAAAAAAAAAAAAAAAAAAAAAAAAAAAAAAAAAAAAAAAAAAAAAAAAAAAAAAAAAAAAAAAAAAAAAAAAAAAAAAAAAAAAA